AAGTATCATTTGCTTTTGGGGTTTTAGTTCACAATAATAAATAATTCTATTTGTACCTAATTGTGATTAACTTTTATTCAATTATTCTGCAAATATTTCTTGAGTATCTACCAGGTGCCAAGCATTGCTTTAGACATTGACATGCAATATCTCAAAAAACATATTCGTGAGTTTATGGATCTCATATCCTATGAGGAGGATTAGAAAAACAAAAATTATAATATCAGGAAATGCACCAAGAACAGTGTGATTCCTGTGTAGTATGGGAGAAGAATAGGTGGGGAGTAAGTTGGGAGAGGGAGAGAGAAGTCAGATTGTGGAACGCTGTAAACCTTAGAAATTTGGACATCAGGTTTTATTCTAAGTCTGATAGAACATCAACATAGAGTTTGAATAGCAGTGTAATAATGTCTGACAGATTTTAAAAGGATCACTGGCTACATACTAATTCTATATAATGTCACATGAGAAAATCAACAAATGACTATTTAAAAAAGTTTATGTCTATTATTTATAAGGGGAAAGTTACTATATAGGGTGATTCATTTATGTCAAGTATTGGTATGCTACTTTTTTATCAGCTTCATTGAAGTTTAATTTTTTTTCTCCTTGCAGTACTGAGGATTGAACCAGGGCCTCCTCAATACTAGGCCATGCCCTACATCCCCACCCCTTTTTATTTTACTTTGAGTTGATCTCACTAAGTTGCCCAGGCTGGCCTTAATCTTGGAATCCTCCTGCTTTGGCCTCCTGAGTTTGCTGAGATTATAGGTGTGTTCCATCATGCCTGGCTTGAAGGTATAATTTATAGCAATTTACCAATTTTAGGTATACAATTTGATAAGTTTTTACAAATGTATATAATCATATAATCACCAATACAATCATAATATTTAATATTTTCATCAACACAGAAATTTTGTTGTACTTGTCTACAGTGTTCTCCCCTTAGCAACCATTTGGCAACCACTGTCTGCTTTTTTATCACTGTCAGTCAGCTTTTTTCTAGATTTTGTTACAGATAGAATCATATAATTTGTGGTCTTTTATGTCTGGCTTCTTTTACTTAGAACAATGCTTTTGAGATTCCTCCATATTTTGAGGCATATTAGAAATTGTTCCATTTTTTTGCTCAGTAGTATTCAATTGTTTTAAAATATCCCATTTTTTTAATGCATTTACTGGTTAATGGAGTTTGGGTTGTTCCAGTTTTTGTATGTTATGAATAAAGCTGAAATGAATATTTAAATACAGGTGTTAATGTAGACATATGCTTTCATTTCTCTTGGATAAATACTTAGGAGTGGAGTTGCTGAGCCTATAGTAAATGCATGTTTAACTTTAACAAAAATGGCTAAACTGCATTTGTATTCCCATTAGCAATGTATAACAGTCAAGTTGCTCCATATTCTTGCTAATACTCAATATGGTCCGTTTCTTTAACTTTAGCCATTTTAGTGCTTATAGAGTGATATCTGGTGGTTTTAATTTGCATTTCCCTAATGTCTGTTAAAAAGATTATGATTATGATTATGATTATGATGATTAAGATGATAAGGTAGACTTTATTTAAGGGGGAACTTTATTACAATGGATATAGGTCTATTGCTGTAGAATTTTGCACTGAGGGACAGAAATTAACTTTGAATTCAGCATGGGCATGTGGGAATTGATAGCCAAAGAGCAGAGTTGGGGTCAGTGGATGGAAAATTACCAACAGGAAACATAAGGGACAGGGCAGATTCTAGCTAACCCAACATAATGGGATTCTTGCTGGAGGCTTTCATTTTAAAGGCCTCATGAAGCTTGTTGTTACCTTCTTCATTTCATAGTGGGCTATTTCCTTTTGAATGCTCACAGTATTTATTGTTTGTATCACTCATTTTCTATTTGTTATTTTCTATTCTGTAATCTCATTTTGATTCCTGCTTTCAAATCTCTGACCCCTTTGCTTAAGTTATATTGGAAATGGTCTTAATGTCATGGTCACTTTTTCTTGGATCTGACAGAAATTCAGGAAACGGGATGTTTGTAGATGATTGTGAATATTTGGTAGTATTTGGTAATCTTTTAAGTTAATCCAAAATTTCCTGGTTTTGTAGATTATGTTGGTCTCACCTTAGAATGGACCCAGTTTTCTGGATTACTTCCAAGTTTTTGGAATGTGAGATAGTGTTTTGCATATTAAACATATTACTTGTTATTTTGGAACAGACTCTATGTCTGTTCAGTGCCCTAAGGAGTGTTCAATCCAAACTTAACTATCTTTCTTTTCTAAAGATTGAATCTTAGAATGAATGTCTCTAAGACATTTATTTTTATTGTAATATTTTACATTAGCTTTTTCCCACTCTTCTCTGGTTGAAGATCAAGTATGACATGGTCTTGAGCGACATGACTTGGTATATATTTTTTAGAACTATTCACAGTATTGGAACAAAAAAGTAGTGTTTTTCGTTAGACTTCATATAAGTTGCTGACCTCTAATTCCAGGCCTTTTTGTTCTGTTCAACATATTGCCTTATTCTTTTCTTCTTTATAATTTTTTAAAAATTCGGAATTTGCCCTCTTTTAGTATACAGTTCAATTGTTTAATGTAAATTTTCAAAGTTTTATAACCATCATCACTATCTAGTTGATTTATTTTCACCATGTCCAAATGAAATATTGTACCCATTAGCAGTTATTCTCCATTCCTCCTTCTCTCCAGTCCCTGGTCACCATTAATCTACATTATAAATTTGTCTATTCTGAACATTTCATTTAAATGGAATAATCTAATACATGGGTTGTTTTGTCTGGCATCTATCACTTGGCATAATCTTTGTAAGGTTCTTCCATATTGTATCATGCATCATTACGTTTTAGTGCTAATTAATACTCCGTTGTATAGATACATCATGTTTTGTTTCTTCATTTATCAATTAATGAACATTTTTTGAGTTGTTTTCAGGTTTCGTTTATTATAATATTTAACTGCTTTAAATATCCATGTATTTGTTTTGGGTAGAAATGTTTTCATTTCTCTTGGGTATACATGCAATTGCTGGGTCAAATAGTAACTCTGTGTTTAACTTTGTGAGGAGCTGCAAGATGTTTTCCAAATTGACTGCATCATTTTACATTCCCCTCAGCAGTATACGAGGATTGTCATTTCTCTACATCCTTGCCTCCATGTGTTATTATCTGTCTAGTTATAGTTGTTCTTTTGGGTATGAAGTAGTATTTAATTGTGGTTTTATTTGCCTTTTTATGAAGACAAATGACATTGAATGTCTTTTTATGTGCTTACTGGTTATTTATATATCACCTTTGGAGAAATGTTAATTGATATCCTTTGTACATTTTAATATTGTTTTCTTTATTTTAGTGTGACAAGGATTTGTTATACATTCTGAATACAAGTCACTGATTGGATATATGACTTGTAAATTTTTTTCCCATTTTGTCAATTTTTATAACTTCCTTTGAAACACAAACAATTTTAATTTTGATGAAATTCCATTTATCTAGTTTTTTCTTTGGTTGCATGTACTTTTGATTACATATCTAAGAAACTATTGCCTAATTCAAGGTCACTAACACTTGTCCTTAAGTTTTCCTCTAAGAATTTTAGAGTTTTAGCTCTTAATTTTTGACTTTTGATCCACTTTAGGTTAATTTTTGTGTATGGTCAGAGTTAGAGGTCCAACTTCATTTTCTTATATATAGATAACTAGTTGTACCAGCACCCTTTATTTAAATGACTATTTCTTTTTTTATTGAGTTGTTTTTTCATTCTTATTGAATTAGCCATAAATGAAGGGCTTATTTGTGGATTGTCAATTCAATTGCATTGGTCTAAATGTCTACCTATCACTGATTACTATAAGTTATAAACCTAGAAGTGTGAAACAGATCTGTCCTTTTCAAGATAATTTTAGCAATTCTTGGTTCCTTGTATTTCTATATGAATTTTAAGATTAGCTTGTCAATTTCTGCAAAAATGGCACCTAGGATTTGATAAGCAATTGTGTTGAATTAAATCAATTTAAAGAGTATTGTCATTGTAGCAATAATAAATCCTCTGCTCCATGTACATTGGATGTACTTCTATTTAGGTATTAAATTTTGTTGACATGTTTTAGAGTCATGTTTTATAATTTTTATGCTGCATAAAATTATACTACTTTTGTTAATTTATTCTCAACTATTTTATAGTTTTTTATGTTGTAAATTGATTCTTAATTTTATTTTTGGATTGGTCATTGCTACCATATAAAAGTCAATTTGAGTTTTGTATAAATTGATTTTAGATCCTACAATCTTGCTGAACTTATTAGTTCTAATAGTATTTTTATGGAGTCCTTAGGACTTTTTATATACAAAAAACGTGTTATCTTCAAATGGAGATAATTTTACTTCCTCCTTTTCAACCTAGTTGCTCTTTATTTCATTTTCTTGCCTAATTGTCTTACTAGATTGTTCAGTATATTGTTGAATGGAAGTGGTGAGATTGAGCATCCTGTCTTGTTCCTGATTTTAGGGGAAGTAGTTGGTCTTTCCATAATGTTAGCTCTGGACTTAGGTTCCCTTTATCATGTTAAGGAAGCTACTTTGTATTTCCATTACATTGAGTGTTTTGGGTTTTGTCAGGTACTTTTTTTTTTTTTTATACGGTTATGCTTTTTATCCTTTATTTTGTTAATATGAGGTATTATATTGTTTTTCAGCTATTCAACCAATCTTCCTTTCCTGGTATTCTTCTTTTTTATAAGATAATACCTTTTTGATATTGTGCTGGGTTTAGTTTGAGATTTTTGTGTCAATATTTACAAGATATATTAATCTATAGTTTTCTCATTATACATTTTTCTTGTTTTGTTATCAGGGTAGAACTGGCATCATACAATAAGTGGGGAAGTGTTTTCTCACTTTCTAGTTTTTAGAAGTTTATCAAGGATCGGCATTAATTCTATTTTAATACTAATGGCATTTTAATTTTAATTTTTGTCTTTTAGGATTCTCCTTTTACAAATGCAGGAATGGGATCTAACCTAAATCTCTTAGGGGAAATTGAGTGTGATGCCAGCATAATGGATGGAAAATCCTTAAATTTTGGAGCAGTTGGAGCACTGAGTGGTATGTGGGCATTATGACATACTACCTTTATTCTTTGAAAAACTTCTGCCTATTACCATTTCATACCTTCTAAAGATAGTCCAGTCTACTTTACCATTCTTGCTTGAAATAGTGTTGAAAACAAACATTTTTCTTCTTTAACTGAATTTAAAATATAAAATCTTGCTATGAATGATTTTAAAGAAAACAGCAAAGCAACCTGTATCCAAGTTTTTGGTTAAAGAATGAGATCATCATCCTCTATCCCTTCTAGAGATTATAGATATTTAAAACTTGATTTAGAATAATCTTATTAATTTTTCCATTTGAAATACACAAATATTCTTATCATAAAAAATGATGTAAATTAGGTTTACGTTTTATCTTCCAAATCCTTTCTTTTTATCCTCTTCTGCCCTGGGGTTTAACCAGTGAAGATCCAATGCATTTATCTATATATTTATATAATAGAGACATAGTTTTATTTTGTGAATTAAAAAAATGTATGTATTATTACAAAACTTTTTTTTCTTTCAATAGGATGTCTTGGAGACTTTTTTCCATACCTTTACATAAAAGATTTATTTAATATTTTGTAATTCATTTAAATATATATGAAGTACACAGATTTTTAACTGTGCGGCTTCTTGAATATTTAAATGTATATATACCACATATAACTGAATAAATGTATACACCTTTACCAAGGAATTAGATGTTTTCATGTTAAGAAGTAGGACATTTCTATAATCCCAGAAGGACCCTTTATGCTTCTTAGCCCATACTTCTTGTGCTTCCCTCCCCTGTTCTGTTTTTTTTTTTTTTAATTTTTTTATTGTTGGTTATTCAAAACATTACAAATTTCTTGATATATCATATTTCACACTTTGATTCAAGTGGGTTATGAACTCCCATTTTTACCCCATATACAGATTGCAGAATCACATCAGTTACACATCCATTGATTTACATATTGCCATACTAGTGTCTGTTGTGTTCTGCTGCCTTTCCTATCCTCTACTATCCCCCCTCCCCTCCCCTCCCCTCTTCTCTCTCTACCCCCTCTACTGTCATTCATTTCTCCCCCTTGTATTATTTTTCCCTTTCCCCTCATTTCCTCTTGTATGTACTTTTGTATAACCCTGAGGGTCTCCTTCCATTTCCATGCAATTTCCCTTCTCTCTCCCTTTCCCTCCCACCTGTCATCCCTGTTTAATGTTAATCTTCTTCTCATGCTCTTCATCCCTACTCTGTTCTTAGTTACTCTCCTTATATCAAAGAAGACATTTGGCATTTGTTTTTTAGGGATTGGCTAGCTTCACTTAGCATAATCTGCTCTATTGCCATCCATTTCCCTGCAAATTCTATGATTTTGTCATTTTTTAATGCAGAGTACTCCATTGTGTATAAATGCCACATTTTTTTTATCCATTCGTCTATTGAAGGGCATCTAGGTTGGTTCCACAGTCTTGCTATTGTGAACTGTGCTGCTATGAACATCGATGTAGCAGTGTCCCTGTAGCATGCTCTTTTTAGGTCTTTAGGGAATAGACCGAGAAGGGGAATAGCTGGGTCAAATGGTGGCTCCATTCCCAGCTTTCCAAGAAATCTCCATACTGCTTTCCAAATTGGCTGCACCAATTTGCAGTCCCACCAGCAATGTACAAGTGTACCCTTTTCCCCACATCCTCGCCAGCACTTGTTGTTGTTTGGCTTCATAATGGCTGCCAATCTTACTGGAGTGAGATGGTATCTTAGGGTGGTTTTGATTTGCATTTCTCTGACTGCTAGAGATGGTGAGCATTTTTTCATGTACTTGTTGATTGACTGTATGTCCTCCTCTGAGAAGTGTCCTTCAGGTCCTTGGCCCATTTGTTGATTGGGTTGTTTGTTCTCTTATTGTCTAATTTTTTGAGTTTTTTGTATACTCTGGATATTAGGGCTCTATCTGAAGTGTGAGGAGTAAAGATTTGTTCCCAGGATGTAGGCTCCCTATTTACCTCTCTTATTGTTTCTTTTGCTGAGAAAAAACTTTTTAGTTTGAGTAAGTCCCATTTGTTGATTCTAGTTATTAACTTTTGTGCTATGGGTGTCCTATTGAGGAATTTGGAGCCCGACCCCACCGACTGTAGATCGTAGCCAACTTTTTCTTCTATCAGACGGCGCGTCTCTGATTTGATATCAAGCTCCTTGATCCATTTTGAATTCACTTTTGTGCATGGCGAGAGAAAGGGATTCAGTTTCATTTTGTTGCATATGGATTTCCAGTTTTCCCAGCACCATTTGTTGAAGATGCTATCCTTCCTCCATTGCATGCTTTTAGCCCCTTTATCAAATATAAGATAGTTGTAGTTTTGTGGATTGGTTTCTGTGTCCTCTATTCTGTACCATTGGTCCACCCACCTGTTTTGGTACCAGTACCATGCTGTTTTTGTTACTATTGCTCTGTAGTATAGTTTGAAGTCTGGTATCGCTATACCGCCTGATTCACACTTCCTGCTTACCTCAATATTGTAAAAGCAATCTATGCTAAGCCTCAGGCTAGCATCATTCTGAATGGAGAAAAATTGAAGGCATTCCCTCTAAAATCTGGAACAAGTCAGGGATGCCCTCTGTCTCCACTTCTGTTCAACATAGTTCTCGAAACACTGTCCAGAGCAATTAGACAGACGAAAGAAATTAAAGACATAAAAATAGGAAAAGAAGAACTTAAATTATCACTATTTGCAGGTGACATGATTCTATACCTCGCAGACCCAAAAGGGTCTACAAAGAAACTATTAGAGCTAATAAATGAATTCAGCAAAGTGGCAGGATATAAAATCAACACGCATAAATCAAAGGCATTCCTGTATATCAGCGACAAACCCTCTGAAATGGAAATGAGGACAACCACTCCATTCACAATATCTTCAAAAAAATAAAATACTTGGGAATCAACCTAACAAAAGAGGTGAAAGACTTATACAATGAAAACTACAGAACCCTAAAGAGAGAAATAGAAGAAGATCTTAGAAGATGGAAAAATATACCCTGTTCATGGATAGGCAGAACTAACATCATCAAAATGGCGATATTACCAAAAGTTCTCTATAGGTTTAATGCAATGCCAATCAAAATCCCAACGGCATTTCTTGTAGAAATAGAGAAAGCAATCATGAAATTCATATGGAAAAATAAAAGACCCTGTTCTGTTTTTAGACACCATGGACTAATTTGCCCGTTCCCGAAATGGTGTGAATGGAATGAAATGACTGTACGTCTGGTTTTGTTTTTTGCTTAACATTATGCCTGTGAGATTGATTTGCATTTTGTGCCACAATAGTTTTTTTCTATTGCTTAGTAGTATTTCATTGCATGAATATACCACAACTTATTTTATCCACTCTTCTTTTAGTCAATGTTTAAACAGTTTCTCGTTTCTAGTTTTTCAGTGTTCTGAATAAAGTTGCAATGACTATTCTTATGTATACGTTTTGATAGAAGTATTTGCTGATTTCTCTTGGATATATACCAATTTAGAATGCTAAATTTAGGTACATATATTCTTTGTTTTAGTAGATAGTGCCAGTTTTCAAGTTGTTACGGTTCATACTCTTACAATGTATGAGCATTTCAATTACTTATATCCTTGCCAAATTTTGTATTGTTATTATTTTTAAAATTCAGGCATTTTGACATGTATGCATTGATATTATTGTTTTAGTTTGAGTTTTCCTGGTGACTCATGGTACTGACAACATTTACAGAGGCCAGGTGAACTTGTTTTGAAGTGTGTGTCCACATCTTTTGCATATTTGTGTGGTATCATCACTTTTATTGATTTGTCAGAGTATTAAATATTTAGATACAAATCCTTTGTCAGATATGTGTATTATGGATATCTCCTTCCAGCCTTTGGCCTGCCTTTTCACTCTCTTGATGCTGTCTTTTGGTGAATAGGTCTTAAAATTATGATGAAGTTTAGGTTATTAATCTTTTTTGTGGTTGATTCTTCTGGCATTTTAAGAAAATTCCCTACCTGTGGTTATAATGATAGTCTTGTTTTCTTTTAGTAATTTTATTGTTTTTACTTTTCATGTTTAGCTTCCTAATCAAGTTCAAATTAACTTGTGTATGTGAGATGGGGATCAACATTTATTGGTTTTTTCACAAGGACTTCCAAATTGTTCATTGTCCTTTATTGAAAGGTCAATCCTTTCCTCAGAATTTCCTTGTCAAATCAGGTATTTGAATGTGTAATGGTTTGTTTTGGTATGCTGTTATGGCTGGCCTCATAAAATGAGTTGGGAATTTCATTTTCTCTATTCTTTGAAAGGGTTTGTGTATGATTGGAATGATTTCTTTCTAGTTGTTTAGAAAATTTGTTAACTATCCCAAATTAGTGGTATTTTCTTTGCAGGAAGTTTTAAACATGGGAATCAATATCTTTAGCATTTAATAAGATTGTCTGTATTTACTTTTTCTCATGTATGTTTTTCAAGGAGTATCTATTTCATATCACTTATCAAATTTACTTGCCTAAAGACAATTTAGTTAGCTTTATTTATTGGATTCTAGTTTAATTCTTCCGTGATCAAAGGTAATAATATGTATGCTTCCAATTCCTTGAAAGTTTTTGAGACTTGCTTTATGACCCTGCTCATGGTGTGTTTTGATAAATATTTCATGTGAACTTCAAAAGAATGAGTATTCTGCAGTTGTTGAGCGCAGTGCCTTATATATGTCAGGTCAATTTGGTTATTCATTTGTTCTGATTATTTATTCTCTTTTGTACTGTTATAATATGTAAGAAAAGATATTTCAATTAGTTTTAATTTTATTCATTATGAATTTTACTACTTGTGCTTAAAGGCTATTAATATTTCTCTGTAAATTCAGTGTTTATACCTCTTTTTAAAAATTTTTAGTTATAGATGGACCCAATACCTTTATTTTATTTTTAAAATTTATTTATGTGGTGCTGAGTATCGAACACATTGCTCCACATACGCGAGGCAAGCACTTTACCACTGAGTCATAACCTCAGCCCTGTTCATACGTCTTGTATGGCTCACCTTGTGAAAGGTCTGTTCAGCATATTTTTTGTCATATTGGAATTTGAAAATTTTATTTGTCAAACTTATTACTTTACCCTTTATGGCTTTTGTATTTTGCATTTCTTAAATTTTCTCTCATGATTTCTAAGCAACAGTCACCTATATTTTCTTAGTATGTATAATTTATTTTTCATTCACCTCTTAAATACCTCACTTTTTTCCTAAAGTGATTAAAAACTGTCCCTATGTGATTTATTGAACAACAGTAATAATAACAAAAATATCACTTATTATGTGACTATAATATACTACGCATTATTATGTAGGGGTCTACACATTTAATTATGTAATTCTCAAAGTTACTTTTTGAAGTTATTACTTTTATCCTTATTTTACAGGTGAGGAAACTGAGAACCAAGAAAGATTTTGTTTAAGATTATTGTCTGTATGAGTCAAAGTACAAGACAAAAATCATACAGTAATTTAAGCAAGAGAAATTTAACATAAAGAGTCATTAAGAAGAGATAGGAAAGGGTTGGAGTGAGTTGTAGCTCAGTGGTTGAGTACTTGCCTCGCAGGCATGAGGCACTGGGTTTGATCCTCAGCACCACAAAAAAAACAAAAAGAAGAAGAAGAAATAGGAAAGTCACTACATAAAGATGGAAATAGGGTTAGGTGTGGCGGCACATGCTTATAATCCCAGTAACTCAGGAGGCTTGGCAGGAGGATTCAAAATTTGAGGCCAGCCCCAGTAATTTAACAAGACCCTAAGCAACTTAGTAAGACCCTGTCTCAAAATAAAAATAAAAAGGGCTGGACATCAATGTTTATAGCAGCTCAATTCACAATAGCTAAGCTATGGAAGCAACCTAGGTGTTCTTCAACAGAGGACTGGATAAAGCAAATGCGGTGTATCTACACAATGGAATCTTATTTAGCCATAAATAAGAATGAAATTATGGCATTTGCTGGTATATGGATGGAACTGGAGAGTATCATGCCAAGTGAAATAAGCCAATACTAAAAACCCAAAGGTGGAATGTTGTCTCTGATATGTGGATACTAACCCAAAATAATGGGTTAGGGAGGGAAGAATAGAAGTTCACTTAATTAGACAAAGAGGAATGAAGGGAAGGAGAGGGGATGGGAATAGGAAAGATAGTGGAATGAATATGACATAACTTTCCTATGTTCATATATTAACCCACAACCAGTGAAACTCCACATCATGTACAACTGTAAGAATGGGATCCAAGTTAGAATAAGTTATACTCCATGTATGTATAATATGTCAAAATATACTCTACTGTCATGTACATCTAAAAAGAGCAAATAAAATAATAAAGGAAAAGGAATGAAATGCCATAATGCAACACATTTTTAAATTAAAATGCTATAGTAACATGCAACCCAAATAGAAAAGTTAAAAAATAAAAAGGGCTGGGGATCTAGGTCAGTGGTAAAACTCCTCTGCATTCAATTGCCAGTACCAAAAAAAAAAAAAAAAGATGGAACAAGAACTCAGTGTGTCCTAGGGCAGAGGGAGAATACTCAAGGAAGGATAAACTTGGAATTGGGTTTGGATCTTGTTCAACAATACCTTCAAGGTGTGGTTGCAGCCCACTAGAATTTGATGAATTACCCAGGCTAGGGCTGGCCCACACTCATTGTGTGCAGGACTAATCTTGTGATGCATAGGTGAACTCACACTGGTAGATAGGCACACTGAAGTTAAGAGGCTGTGGAATTAAACTAATTTATACAGGATAAAGGTTGGGTTTTTGGCTTAGTAGGCAACTATCCCCATTGAACATTTGTTATATATGCCTCTGGGACTAAGGACAGGCTGTGGGTATCAGGGACAATGTTTAGGGTATAGTCATTCTTTCTGGGACTGTCTGCTGTGTGTGCTGCTGTGTCTGGACTCAGAAGCTGGACAAAACATGTGGTGAGCTAGAGAAAGCTGTGCACCCAGGGCATGTAGCACTATAGAATACCTTGTCAGGGCCAAATAGTGGAGACAAAATTGCAGAAGCCCTCCCAACAAGCTACCCTTTCCTACTACAATGTATCTCCACTGCCCTCTACTGACCATGATTACCACTGTGCCCTCTGGCAAGGGAAGTATATTTAAAGGGCCCATATTCGCTTTTGCAGATAGGCAACAGAGGGTGTAATTCAAGTTGAGAAGTAATAAACTGATAGCTGGTAGAGTGACAAAGTAGTCTGATTCCTGTGCTTTTCACTTTGTGTTCTTTTTACCTCTCCTGTATAATTTATTATTTTCCTACTTGTTTTGAAATACTCTCTATATTATATATTAAATACCCAAATCCACACTTTAATTTTACTCTATTCCATTGGTATATTTGTCTATTTCTCAAACCACACTCTTTAAAAAAATATTTTTAGTTGTAGATGGATACATACCTTTATTTTTATTTATTTATTTTTATGTGTTGCCAAGGGTGCATCCCAGTGCCTCACACGTCCTAGGCAAGTGCTCTACCACTAAGCCACAATCCCAGCCCTCAAACCACACTCTTAATTAGAGTAACTTTGAATAAAAAATTATATCTTGTAGGAGGAATAACTCTTCATTTTTCTTTCAGAGTTTTCCTGATCAGTAGTCTGCTTGTCATGTATCATAGAAGTCCTTGTGAAGTTTTGATGGTGAATTTATAGATTTGAATTTATTATATGTTAATCATTAATGTCTTTAGAATATTGAATCATTAGATCTAGCTAGAAATATATTAATGCCTTAAGAACTGCTATAGAGATCTTATTTGGGCTATTCCTTTTTTGATATTTCATACATCTTTTTTTATGGCAGAACTTCTGGTATTTAGCTAAATTTCTACAATTCATTTTATTTTGAGTCAATCTGATAGTCTTAAGTTTTTGTAGTTTCTTTATATCCTGCTGCTGCTGATTATTATTATTATTTTACAAATAGTATATTGAAAAGCATCCATAGATTACTGGTTAAGGGTATGGTCTCTAGCACTAGCTGCCTGTGTTAAAATCTCAGTTCTGTGACCTTGGGTAGTAACTTAAACCCTTTGTACAAATGTTTCCTCATTAATCAGGGAGGGTTCCTAAGCATAGTTATGTAGTAGAATTCAGAGATCTCTTAAATAAATAACCTGACAAAAGAGTTTGGCACTGAACCTGATGTATATTAGGTACTGGTGCATATTTCATTGCCTTCTATCATCATCATCATCATGCTATTGTTATTGTTATCCTGACAGTGTTTGTAATACTAAGCTGTCCTCTGAGATAAGATTATTGTATGATTAACATTGTTATCTCACTTTTACATACAGTTTCACTTCCCAGAAATTGTCTAAACCACGTTTTAGGTTACAGTCTTGTCAATTTTTACTCAATGTGAAGATCTTCCTTTCTATTCTTTCTCTCTTATAGGTTAGGTTTTAAAATTTTGGCTTAACTTTTTCTAGTTTTATTTGTTTCCATGGTAAAATTGAAACTGTTTATAATAGTATTTATTCCTTAAAGGTTTTATGGTCAATAAATGTCTAGGGCATTTATGTACTTTTGATAGTAGGTAAATGCACATTTTCAGTTCATTTTTTTTCTTTTCTGTTGTGAAATCTATTAAAAAGAAACTTTATTTAAATATTTAAATAAACCTTATTTAAATATTTGTATTCAATCTTCGCTGCTATAATTTATGATACAACATGAGAATATTTATCATATATTTGTTTTTTCTTATATCTACTAGATATTCACCTATTTATAAATTTGAATTTTATTATCTGTGATAACTAAGTTTTCATTACAATATTTAATACCTTGAAAGAGAATGATTTCCAAGTTTTTAAAAAGTTTTTTTATTGAAACAACATAACACTGAGTAGGAAACTTGGTGACATTTCTAATTTTTTTTTCTGCCCATTTTATTTTATAGGAATCAAGAACCCAGTCTCAGTTGCAAACAGACTTTTGTGTGAAGGGCAGAAGGGCAAGCTGTCAGCTGGCAGGATTCCTCCTTGGTAACCACTTTGTTCATTCTGATTTTCCCTAGGCTTTGGTCTTTGGTGCATGCAGTGTGTAAAAGTTTTTATTTATCCACAGAAGGTTGTGGCTCTTGGTTATGCACCAGCAGTAGGATGCCTTTGAGATAACTTTGTTCTGTGATCTTGGAATGTTTTGTATACTTGATAAAACTCCAGATGGAATAGAATATTATGGATTAAAGCAGAGAAGATCCAAGTTAATGTTTGGTTTTGTTTTTGATTATCAAGAGGTTTTGCTGTTACTAAGTCCTCAAGTAGGGCCATTATATTATGAAACTAGAAGTTTCTTACACATTCAAGTCCAGAGTTTAAAGTGTGCCACTTTGGGGTCATTTTATTGTGAAACTTAAGTATCTGACACAGTAGACTTTAGAGTCTAAATTAATTAACTTTGGGGACGTTCTTAGAATAAAATACATTGAACGTTGTAAATAACCTTCATGAATGTGTTATCCATCACTAATCATTAACAATGTTTTATCCTTTATCTATCTCATGCATCTCACCAAAAAAAGATAAAAACATTTGTAGGCCAGAACTACATATCCAGAAGCTTTCAGTATGTAAGGGAATTTGATCTGTGTAAATGGTGTCATCTCAAATTGTTGTGGAGAAAAAGGATAGTGCAACCAGTAAATTGTGTTGGAACAATAGGCTACCTAGTGAAAAAACATTGTATTAAATTCCTTTGTTACATCACTCAGAAAAATACAGTCTAAACTTAAAAAGTATAATATAAAATGTTGCTTGTGGAATATAAAATTATAAACAACCTAAATGTCCATCAATGGCAAAATAAATTGTTTTCTAGTCATGTTATTAGGTACTCTGTGGCATTGAAAAAAAAAATAAAGAAAGAAAAAGGCAAGCTAGGGTATTGTTGTGCTGCCTGTAATCCCAGCAACATGGGAGACTGAGGCAGGAAGATCACAAATTTGAGGCCAGCCTTTACAGCTTAGTGAGATCCTGAGCAACTTAGCATGACCGTATCTAAAAATAAAATAAAATAAAAATGAATAAAATAAAAAGCACTGGGGATGTAGCTCAGTGGTAAAGTGCCTCTGGGTTCAATCCCCAGTTATCCCCCTCCTCGTACCCTCCCTTCCCCTGCCAAAAAGAGGAAAACATTTGTATATATAGTAACATTGATTACTATTAACATTAATTTGTTTGGAATTCCATGACAAAATACCATAGATTTGGGTGGCTTAAATAGCAGAACTTTTATTTTTCACAAATCTAGAGGCTGGGAATACCAAGATCAGGGTTTCAGCCTATTTGGTTTCTGGTGAGGGCTTTCTTTTCAGCTTGCAGATGGTTGCCTTCTTACTGTGTTCTCACATTTGAGATGAGATGCGGTGGAGGTTGAGAGAGGCAGGGAGGGAAAAAGAGATATTCTATTCTTCTAATGAGGACAATAATCTCATCATGAGGGCCTTACCTTCATGACCTTATCTTTTTAAGTTTATCTCCCAAAAACCCTATTCCCACATATTGCAGTGGGGATTAGGGCTTCAATCTATGGTTATTAGGGGGACACAATTCAGTTTCTAGCAGTAGATCTCCACATTGTAGAGTTAAAAAAAATCAAATTGCTGATGATATGTTTGGATGAACATATATTTTCTTAAAAATTACAAAACAATATGATTAAACTTTTTTTTTCTATCACACAGGTTAGGGAATGAAATGTCAACAAAGGGTTTTAAATTGCTTATACTGAAAAATTTCTAATGGAATCCTCATCCTTCCCAGTGTCTCACATCCTCATCCTGAACCTGTCTCTGTTATGTTCCTAGTAACAATTGCCCTGATTTTAAGGTTTTCTCATTCATATATATTCTTTATACTAGTATAACATAAAAATTTTCTAAGAGTATATAAATATGTAGATGTACAAATAGTTTTGGAAAGAATATTACCAAAGTCACTGTGATTACCTCAGGGAAGCAAGAAAGAGGGAACAAGATGAGGCAGTTGTCAAAGGGAATGTTTAGCATTTCAGTATTTTATAGGGAGAAGATATATGAGAAAAAGTGATGGCCATCTCTTCATTAAAATGAGATTATATAATAATGCTATACCTGCTTGGAACTAGCTCTCTGATTTTGTCACATACCTAGTTCTTCATCTTTATTCTTTGTTTTCAAAATTATTTTCATATTTTGCACTTTATATATTTTAGAAAATTTAAATTCATGTATTTTAGGATTAGCTCACTTATTTCCTTAAATGGGTTGCTGGAATTTTGATTAGGATTCCCATAAATCCATTTTTTAAGTTTTTTTTTTTTTTTGTATCAGAGATTGAACCCAGGAGTGCTTAACCACTGAGTCGCTTCCCCAACCCTTTATTTTGAGACAGCTAAGTTGCTTTGGGCCTAATTGCTGAGGCTGGTTTTGAATTTGGAGTCCTCCTGCTTCAGCTTCCCAAGTCATTGGGATTACAGACAGGTGCCACCATGCCCATCTATTAAGGTCTTTTTTACCCTCTCTGAACAGGGTTTTATATTTTACAATGTCTATGTCTTACACAAGTTTTTCTGTACTTACACTGAGATATTTCATTCTTTTTTGACATTATGGTAAATGTGTATTTAATAAATATTAATTTTCAGTTCCTCATTGCCAGTATATAGGAATACAATTGATTTTATTATATTGAAGTTGCATTTGGGGAGTTTGCTAAAATCATATGTTATGGTACCATTTTCATAGATTTTATAAAATTTTCTACATAGATATTATGTCTTCTGGGAATAAAGATGGTTTTACTTCTTTCTTTGTAAGAGTCCTTAAATTAATTTCTTTTTCTTGCTTTATTGCACTGACCAGAACCTTCAGTGCAATGTAGAATAGAATTTTGAGAGAGAACATTCTTGCCTTTAATGTGATCCTAGGGAAGAAGCATTTGATCTTTCACCATTAGGTATGATTGTTGTTGTAGGTTTATCATAGATCCTGTTTATTATGTTGAGAAAGTTTTCTTTTTTCTTAAGTATGCTAGGAGTTTTTAATGTGTCTTACTTTCTCAAGTGCTTTTCTGCATCTATTAAGATGATCTAACAATTTTTCTTATTTAGTCAATATAGTGATTGACTGATTTTTAACTGTTAAAAGCAGTAGTTGTATTAGTGGAATAAATTCTACTTGGTTATAATGTATTATCATTTTTATGTTCCTGGTTGTAATTTACTAATTTGTGGAGAATTTTTATATTATGTTTATGTGTGATCTTGGTTTATAGTTTCTTGTAATTCTTTGGTTTGGTTTTCTGCTCCTTGGATGTATAGAGTTATGTATTTCATCAGATTTGGAGAAATTTAAGTCATTATTCTATCAGGTATATTTTTTTGTTACCCCCATCCTTTAGGACTCTGATTATATGTTTAAAGACATACCCCCAATTTGCTATGGTTCAACTTAGAATGTTTTGATTTTACAATGATGTGTAAGCAATTTGTATTCAGTCGAAACCATACTTTTGTCTGCAGTGGGCCTTGGCATCCAGTTAGCCACCTGACTAGTAAAGGTAAATAATCACTGCTCTACGGTTGCTAATACTGTGTTACTAAGCTATGATGTTCTGTAGATTGACTTAAAGGTATTTTCAATTATAGTGGGTTTACTGGGGCATAACCCCGTTGTAAGTTGAGTAGCATCTATATCTGTAATAGTTTTACAGACCTTTGATGATTTGTTTACTTTTTTCATTCTTTTTTTGTTCCTTTGTTTCATTTTGAAGTTTCCAAGGTTACTGATTATTTTTCTGTAATATCTAATTATTTCAAATCTTATTCAATTTAGTATTCAATTCTGACATTTTTTTTAATCTCTAGAAGTTTGATTTGCATTTTTTAAGCAATGTCTTCCATTTGTCTACTTAACATGTTTAACCTTCTTGAATATATGAATAGAGTTATAATAATTGTTTTAATATGTTTGTTGATTCTATTATCTTTGTTATTTCTGGCTTGCTTTCAATTAAGTGATTTTTCTCCTTTTTATAGTTCACATTTTTCTGCTTTTTTGTATGCTTGGTAATTTTTTAGTAAATTCCAAATACTGTGAGTTTTTTTGGTGCTGAATATTTTTGTATTTTAACAAATATTCTTGAATTTCATACTAGGATGTGGTTAAATTATTTAAAACAGTTTGAGCCTTTCAGATCTTACTTTAAACTTTGTTGCATGGAGAAGAAGTGTTTAACCTTGAGTTAATTTTGCTTTACAATTGAGGCAAATCCTTTGGAGTAATAGAACTGATGTAGCTAGAATGAGGCTTTTTACTCTGGCTGGTGGCAGCCAAAGCTGTTCCTGGCCCTGTGCAAACTTAGGGATTGTTTCTTTTAGAATAATCTGATTATTTGTTTCAAAGCTTTCGGTAATTTACTTTTTCACATGCACCAACCTCAGGCACTTGAAAATTGGAAGAGTACTCTGCAGATCTCTGGAATCTTTTCCCTATGCAGCTTTTTTTGACCTCTTTGGCCTGTCTGGTTGTCCATTCTGTCTCTTTAACTCAGAGACTGCTTTGCTCCTGTGCTATGGCCTGGAAACTGCTCACAGGAATGAAAGTGAACCCTATGAGTGCAGTAAGGTGAGGTTTATGGTATTTTTTTCAAAGATGACAATCCTCTGTTGCCTCATATCCAATGTCTAACAGCTCTTGCTTTCTATATTTTGTCTGTTGTTTTATTCATTGGTTCAGACAAGAAGGTAAAATTCTTTCCTGTTATTCAGTTTGTTGAGAAGTAGAAACCTCTCAAATATCTTGAAGTTTGCTATATAACTCTAGTAGTTTAAAAACAAATTCTTTGAATATCCTAAATCAACATGACCAAACATCATAGTTTAACTTTGAACTTATAATAATAATAGTTAACATTTATTGTATTGGAATATTGTAGCAGGCAACATTTCATGTGATTTGCACGTATCATCTCATAAAAATTTTTACAATTTATGTAGGTTTCACACATTTTGCAGCTAAAGAACATGAATGCCCAGACTTGCCCACAGTTAGATTGTTGGAAATTTGTGGAGTTCATTCATATCATGTTAGAAATAAATGTTTACACCCAGTCAGTTATTCATTTATTTATCCATTCATTCATTCAGCAAATATATATTGTTCATGCATGAAGGTAGAAAAACTATTAAAAGCAGATGGAAAGCAGGGCATGGTATTACATGCCTATAGTCCCAGCAACTCAGAAGGCTGAGGCAGAAGGATTTTAAGTTTGAGGCCATTCTGGGCAGTTTAGTGAGACCTTGTCTTCAAAAAAACAGAAGTACTGGGTAGCTCAGTGATAGGATGCCTTTGGGTTTAATTCTTCTTGGGTTTAATTTAATTCTTAGTATTGAAAAAAAGGGAAGAAGTTAAAAGCCATGCATCATCTGTTGAAGAAGCAGACTCTTCTATGGGGTGGCAAGAAAACAGTGGATGTTTTCTAAGAAGTCTTTATGTAAGATATTAATTTATTTATATAGGTAATTGGGCAAGGTAGAAGGTATATCTGTTTGGTCTGTGTCTAAAATTGTAAAAACATTCAGCAGGATCATAGGTTCATTGAACAGTTCATTGCATTCATTTTTCTCTTGGCATCATTATATGTTGCACTATGTAAATAGTGGTGTTTGGTCAGACTACTGAAATGCTTGATATCTTAATAAAGTTGGTGGCATTGTCATCATAAACTCTCAAATCTCCTTGTTTCTTTATTTTACTTAATCTTGAATCCTTGCCCTCTTATGATTGGAATGCAACTTTGGTAGCCATTACCATATAGATCAGGGATTGGAAGCCTATATAACCTGTGGGCCAAGTTGAGTCTGCTGTTTTGTGAATAAATTTTATTGGAACATAGCCATATTGATTTATTGTCAAGACAAAATTGTTGGAACAGAAACATTCTGACTCACAAAACCTAAACTATTGGCTACCTGGTCCTCCAGAAAAATTCATTGGCTTCTAATATAAATTATGGAAATTATGTGTTTTTTTTTTTTATGAAACAAGAAAGCTAGACAAGTGTTTTTGTTTTATGTTTAGTATGAATAGGATCTGAATCTGAAGTGCTCATTAGACATTCAATTTTTTTGAGAGGCAAATATAATATTGTTTATTTTAAATTCTATTTTATCTATTATAGTTCATAAATTCATTCAGATTTATAGTACTTTGGTTATATGAGTGTGAAAATAAAATTTAAAAACCTAAAGGTTAAAAGAAACATATACCAACTGTGAATTAATCAGAAAGTATAGACTTCATGGGATTGTAATTCAACTAAATAGTTTAAAAAACACAAATAATAATAGCAAATTTTATAAGGCAAGTAGGGAAATGTAAACACTGAATATTTTTTGATTTTATTTTTTCTATCTAAATTTTAAGTGTTAAATATATATATATATTTTAATATTCTTAGAAAGTCATTTTTGGGAGCTGGGGCTGTAGCTCAGTGGCAGAGTGCTTGCCTTGCAAGTGTGAGGCACTGGGTTCGATCCTCAGCACCACATTAAATAAATAAATAAAGAAAGAAAGACATTTTGTCCTTCTACAACTAAAAAATATTTTAAAAAGTTATTTTTGGAGATGCATATTAAGATATTTATAGTTGAAATTTTATAATGTTGGGATTTGCTTCAAAAATCTTGGCATATTCATGAGTAAGATTAGCAATGTATTAATAATTATTAAAGCAAATTGATGATCTATTGGGGTTATCATGCTATTCTCTGTACTATTGTTGCCTTAATCAATTTGGGCTGGTATAACAGGATACCATAGTCCGGATAGCTTATAAATAACAAAAATTTATTTCTCATATTTTTGAAGTCTGAGAAGTCCAAGATCAAGAAACCAGCAGATTTGGTTTGTATTTTATGAGGGCTAATGTCACTTGCTGAGTCCTCCTTGCTGAGTCCTTATAGAGGTAGCTCTCTGGGACTTTTAACTCCATTCACAAGGGCTTTGCCTTCTTGACCTAATTACCTGCTCGAAAGACTCACCTCCTGATTCCCTCCTAAAACTTTGGGGGTTAGGATTTTAAAATATGATTTTTTTGGGGGGGGTGGACATAAACATTCAGACCATAGCAATTATATATTTTGAAAATTTCTATAATAAAAAGTTAGAAGTCAATTTTTTATTATTTAATTTATTGTTTGCACTTTCAATCAGCTTTGACTAATCAATAGTCTAATTTGTCTTTCTTCAATTTCATATATTTATGATAAACAAAGAAATGATAGGTAAAATAAAAATCAGTTTTTAAGTTCAAAGAAATAGCTGTTTTTTTCTCCTATGTTTTTTCTTATCTAGAATAACCACTTTGATCATTGGGGTCCCAGAGGATCCTTGAGAGCTTTTTGAGTCACATAATTACACATTTTTAGCAATTATAGAATCATGGTGCTTTGAAATGGGTGGTTTCTTTTCATAACATTGTCATTCACATCACCATTTTTGCCCAGGTAGTCCATTTCAGGTGTTTTGCTCAGTAAGCATTTGCAGCAGTATTTTCACTCAGCTTATTGAGAGTTTTAATCATCCTACCTTAATGCTGATCTCAGCTGATTGGTGCAGCTTTGTTTGATAACACTTTAGACCTACTTTGATGTAAATTAAGATGGGTGTAACATAAGGAAAGTGCTGTTTTCTAGTTGATTATTTAATACCTTGCCAATGTTTACTTAATGCTTAGTATGCTTCAGACACTGTTCTAGATTGAGATTTATTGATGAAAAACAGATCTCTATCTTCATGAAGATTATAGTATATAAGAAGGAGACAGAAATAAACGGATGAATATGCTATGTCAATTACAAATTATGTAGTATGTTAGAAAAATATGGAAAGCAGGATGAGGAAGATTGGGAGTACTGGGTAGGTTAGTGCACTGTGGAGAAGCATTTTTATTTTTTATTTTTGCATAGTTTATTGTAGCAAATTTATTTGTCAAACCTTGTAATGATGAATAAATGAAAAAAATATTTTATAAAATGCCACTGATTCGAGGTTTTGGGATTGAACTCAAAAGGACCAATAGGAGTAGTAAGACTACCAGATTCAACTCTGGACTGCCATATAGATCACTTAGTTTACTATTTCAGCATCTCTTTTACATCTTCACATTAACAGAAGTTATTTCTTTTATCAATTCTAGAAGAAGAAGATGCTAAAAATGCTATCAGAACAGCTTCAATTTATATCTAAGTTCTTATTTCAACATTTGAATTTTATTTGATTGTTTTTCTTTGTAGCAGTCTTCATTTGGTGTAAGAATAGGAGAAAAACTTTTCTATTCTCAGAATCCTTTGGAATTTTTAATTAAAAATCAAAACTTGAAGAGATAGAGGTACAAAATATCCTTGTTGGCTCTCTTTTCTTTTTTCGATGCTGTAAACTTCATGCCTACCTTTATATATATTAGAAAACAGTTACTGGGATTAACTGGTTTGTCATTGGAAACATCTGGATATGTTCTGAGTGTCTACTTAGTTTTTTGTTTTGCCAGTCTGTTAGGGGTCTTATAAACAAGTAGATCTTAAAACTTTAATATGTGTGGGCTGGGGCTGTGGCTGTGGCTCAGTAGTAGTGCATTTGCTTGGCATGTGTGAGGCACTGGGGTCTATTCTTACCGCCCCATATAAATAAATAAAATAAAGGTCTATCAACAACTAAAAAATATTAAAAAATACTTCAATATGTGTTACTCTGAGTTTTTAGTGTTGAAATGATTAGAAGAATAGAAATAAAATAGTTTTGAACAACCAACAATAAAAAATTAAAAAAAAATATAGAAAATGAGGAATTAACAAGCAGGTACAAGTTCAAGGAATCCATTATTAGCTGACTGAGATCTTTAAATAAATTGGTTATGGAAGAAGAAATGATTAATTATTATGCTTACTGCTTGCTATTGCTATTTGCTTAGCCAAATTTCTTGGGGAATGGGATAATTATCTTGCATGCTGTTTGAAATTTTGAAAATGAATCTTTCACAGTAATCTAGTAGTAACATATTAGTCACTTTGTTAGGTTAAAACTTGCAAAAGTAGTTTTGGGACATAACAGTACTGTACTCACCATAGAAAAAATGATTCTGTGGGTTCTGTATTTTTGTTGCATCAAGACTTAGAAATATAAGCTTATCTCATTGTGTTTTGGCATCACAAGATGTGTCTCCTTATTTGGGGTGTGTCTTGGTATTCTACTAGGCAAGAATACCAAATTTGAAGATTTTCTTAATCTTAGACTCTTAACCTGATTAAGTAGATCTTGTGAAGTAAACTCAGAACCATGGTGATCCAAGATAAATCTTCATATTTTTTACTGGGAAGTCAACTATTTTAATTTTTATTATGTTGATTTTTTTCTGTTTTTTTGCTTGTTAATTATTGCAAATGAGCAAAAGTTTAAAAGAAATTTGAACATATAGCCATATTATTATTTTGAACTATATCAAGAACTAGATTAACATGCAAGACTTTTTTCAGTTAGCACACAGTATTACTTTATAATATGTAGACGATGACACTATGAGTTTTTAAAAGAATATTTTTTTTCTGTTGTTAGCTTTTTAGTTGGAGAAGGAGCCTACAGATGGGCAGTAGATCATGGAATACCCTCTTGCCCTCCTAACATCATGACCACAAGTGAGTAAAAACTTCAGAATTTAAGCTATATGAGCATACATTCCTGAAAGTGTTACATTACTTCTGTTATGACTCATGTAGTACAAATATTTAAGGAAGCATACTAACATGTTGAAATATTTATAATTAAAAGATATGTGAAAAGTTATTTTAAGCTATCTTTGTATTCCTGAGGTCTCCCTGTTGCTTTCTCATGCTTTTAATAAAACCATAGCACCACCTGAGAGAGAAAAGAGAGAGAGAGAGAGAGAGAGAGAGAGAGAGCGCGTGCGCGCACACGCACAGGCAGAGACAGAGACACAGACAGACAGAATGAGGCGGAAGAAAACATAGGTTAATATTTAACTGTCCTTAAGCTGAGGGAGGATTTTTAAAGTACAAATATAAGAAAAGAAAAACAAAGCTTTGACACATTAAGAATTAAAACTGAAAAACACTTGTCAAAAATATGACAAAAGCATATATATCTTTATGAAGAAGTTTACCAGATTCAAAACTACAGAAATACAAGTTAATAGCCCAATAAAAAAATGTTCAAAAGTCACAGGTATTTAATATAGCATAACCAATAGAGAAATTCAAATTAAAATGAGTACATGGTAAATTTGTTCTTTTAATTTTTGAAAGGGTTAAAAATATATTATTCCTAGTAAGTGTGTAGTGAAATGAACATAATACATTGTAGGTACAAATAAATGTAACTTGGCAGAGACTGCTAAGTAAAACTGTCTGGTGTGGTGGTACACACCTGTAATCCCAGCTGAGGCAGGAGGATAGCTAGTTGGAGGCCAGTCACAGCAACTCAGACAGACCCTGTCTCAAAATTTAAAAAAGGCCTGGGGTTGTAGCTCAGTGATAGAGTACTTGCTTAGCATGCATGAGGGTTCAATCTCTAGTACTTAAAAAAAAATTGCATATATAAAAACTTAAAAGTAAATAATAAAAATAAATAAATAAAAAGGGCTGGGGATGTATACTCTAGTGGTAAAGTGCCTCTGAAAACAATCCCCAGCATTGCAAAGAGGGAAAAAAAACACCTTAAATTAAATACATATTTGCATAAAATATTAAAACATATACTAATGGCTTTTTCAATTAAGTCTTTATTTTTGTCAAAGTATTCTGAAGCTAATTTAAATAACCAGTTGAAAAAACGAACCATTAGCTTGAAGGAAACCAAGCTTTATAAAAAGTACATGATTATATCTCATGGCAAGTCTATAATAAGTTTCAACTCTTACAAGTTGTAATATAGGGAAGTTGGAGGGAAGAAACCTGTGTGTGGCAGTAAAGCAGAATAGGAATTTCCATTTTTCCCTTTTTTTATATTTATTTTTTAGTTGTACACAATACCTTTATTTTGTTTATTTGTTTTTATGTGGTGCTGAGGATTGCACCCAGGGCCTCGCACGTGCTAGGCGAGTGCTCTACCGCTGAGCCACAACCCCAGCCCCTGTTTTTCCCTTCTTTGCAGTAGAATTACGTTAGAGTCATATGTCAGGCAAACAAATTAGGTCACTTGCTAGTGTATTGTTTTTTGTGGAGATATGCCACCTGGCATTTTCCAGTCTAGTCTCAACTAGACCTGCTGCATAGCTCTCATCCCTGGACTTTACCTCACTTTCACCTTGGGATTCCTTTTACCTCTCTCCAGTATCAGATTCTCTGTTTCCTGGATCTTATGTGTTTTTCTTTCTTGTTTTACTCTTTATTTGATACATGTGAGACTGGAAAGCATTTTCCCTTAGGTTTTTGAAGAAACTTATTCTCTTATTATCTGGATTCTAGTCTTGCTATTACGCAAGACTCTTAGTTTTTGTGGAAGGAAGCTCTTAATTTCATATTTAGATTATTGTTAACAAAAGCATCTTGAGATTTTTTTCCTTTTCATTCTTAATGTTGAATACTCATTTTGCATTTTCAGTTTGGAAATTTGTGTGCTTCAGTTTTGGGGAAATTAGACAATGTGTAGTAACTTCTTCATATTTTCTCTATTCCTATTACTTTGTTTCTATTTCTGTGAATTAGATATTAACTCATGTGCTTCAATTCACTGTATCTTCCTGAAAAATTACTTTTTCTCCTTTTAAAAATACCTGTTTACTTTTGCTGTACTTTATGAAGAATTTTTTTTTTTAATATTCTCTCACAAATCATCTACTTTTGATGAATTTATAATTTTAGTTTTCATAGTTTTAGTTTTTGAAGGACCAACTCTGATTACTACTTTTTTTCCCCTTTTTAATACAATCTTGCTTTTGTCTCAATTATTCAATATTTTTGCTTATCTTTCTTAGGATATTATAGTTTGCTCTTTGTTCTTATCTGATGATTCCCCTTCTATTTTGTGTTTTTTGTTTGTTTGCTGTGGACCCTATGACATGTTGGCAAATTCTCTCAGCTATCTAGTACTGGTCCTCTGTTTTCATATTTAGGAATGAGGCACTTAAAAGCCACTGTCAAGCCTTGTGTGTGAGGGAAGGTCTTGATGACCTCAAGGCAGTTGTGTGTTCAGGTTTTTTTGTTGAGGAATCTCTTAGGTTTTGCTCCAACACAACATTCTATTTTCTTAGTTCTGACAGAGTAATAGCCAGTTTTCTGGTTACAGAAGAAGTGACGGGGCTGAAGTTTTAATCTTTCTTTTTGCAAGCTTTTATGTGAACTCTTTTCAGTAGAGCTCTTGATACCTGCCTCCAGCTGTACCTGATGTGCACTAACTAATTTGGGGCCTATGTGGTTCAGCCTTTCAAAAGAGTAAACCTCTTGTTTTCTGCTGCAAGCCTAAGGCAGGGATTCAATCATAGATATTCCTTATTGATAAATTCTTCCCAGTTCTCTTGTTTGTAGTCCCAACTTGACTGTCAGAGCTACTGATACCTTATATTCTGAGCTCTTCTGATGTTTCTTGGTAAGAAATTAGTTTATTTTGTGATATTGTGCCTTTCAGGTATTAGAGTTCATATTCCTCTCCTCAGTTAGTTACTATTTGTCTACTTGCTTTTTATTTTCCAAGATTTTGTTTTTATTGCCTCCATCATCATCATACCAGTTTGTATTCCTTGTGTATTTAACCCTCCCTTTAAATTTTGTTTTGATATATTTTAATAGGGTGTGGAGATAAACTCAGCTATTTACCATGACAATTTTATTTTACTTTTGTTTACATAAAAGGGTATTATAAAATGGCTATTCCTAGATTTTGCAGGATGACAAAAATATTTTGGCCGTACATTAGTTTTTTATGTTTGTAACAAGAAAAACACAATATGCTGTAGATTTCTTATGACTGTTATAACTAATCAGCAAGAAAATTTCCCTGAATAAATAAGGTACTTAAATATTAAGTGATAAATTCTATTTTTCAAAATAGAATAGTATTTACCTATGGTGGATGAATTTAAAAGGAATGATTATAACGATTATTCACATAAAAAAAAAAAACCCAGACATTGTCTGACATTACACCACTGTCTAGTGCTCAGTAAAAATTAGATTGTGTATTGATGTTGGCTAATGATATGCTATATACCAGATCACTTTTTTGAGGGGGATTATAATTTGTAGGTTTTTAATGCTCTTGAGTATTCCAAAAGATTTTGGGATGTTCTTGTAAATTTTAGCCTAAATAAATTGACCAAACCTAATATTTTCACATTCACTTAAGATTTCATTCCTTCCTTCAAGTTTGAATTTCTAGCTCACCTCATTACCTTCAGGCCTAGATCTTCTTTTAACGTTTCTGGTAATGTGGGTATGCTGGTGAAGATATCTCTCAGTTTTTATTTTCTGAAAAATCTTTATTTTACCTTTACTTTTAAAAATAATTTTTCTTGGATATAGACTTCTAGGTTGGTAGGTATTTTTCTTTTAGCCTATTTTTTTTCACAAGTTTTTTTTTTTATTGTGGTAAAATACACATAACTTAAAATTTACCATTTTAGCTATTTTTAAGTGTACAATTCAGTTGTGCTAAGTATATTCAGTGTTGTACAACTATCACCACTCTTTATTTCCATTATTTTACAGTTTTTATATTTCTCTTGAAATTCTTCAAGTATTTACCCATATACCCATTTATAACATATTCATTTGTATTTTAAAATCCTTGGTTTATATTCTAAAATCAAGACCATTTTGGGGGTCAATTGTTATTGATAGATTTTCCCCCTCTTGTGTCTAAATCGAGTCTTCCTGTTTTAATGCATGTCTAATGCATGTTTTTGTCTAATGTATTTTTTAATTTTTTATTATTTATTTTTAAATTTTTTGGTCTAATATATTTTTAAAATGTTGCAAACCAGGCACTGTAGATGGTATATTTTAAAGACTATGGATTTGTTATCTTCCTTTGAAAAATGTTGAGTTTTGTTTTGGCATGTAATTAAATTATTTGCAGATCATCTTGATTTTTGTCACAGCTTGGTTTTAGACTTTCTTAAAGGGGGTCTATGTCAATTTAGCTTTTAGTTGTAGGCTTATGGTGTTTACCACTAAGATAGGACTTTTCTGTGGTTTCACTGGACACCTTAAACTTTGACTTTCCCACAGTGGAAATTTATCAAAATGCCCGTAAGTTTTTCAGCTGGTATTTTTCTCACTAGGCTTTATGGGTCTTGCATCCTACATGAACAGGACTTATTCAGTGATTTGGGGGATTTTCCTAGAGTTGGTATCTTACTTCTGTCTAGGATTTTGCCCTCCATTTCTAGCTGCTTTAGTAGCCCTGATTCTTCTTTTTTTCCCCCCCTCAGAGCAATAAAATTGTAGTTTTCTGCTTGAATTCTTGTGTGTGTGTGTGTGTGCGCACACGCGCATTTCGCAGGGACCTATGGGAAAAGCTGCATGAAAGTGGGTCTTACCCAGTGGTTGAATCCTCTCATAATTCTACCAACTTTTAGTCATCTCCTTCATGAAGTTTTTATTTTCTTTTAAAAGTTTTGTCTAAAGTTTGTAATTATTAGGTGGGTCTGGTATAATCTACTGCTTCATTACCAGGAGCT